GATTTTTTCTTTTTTGCGGCTTTTGCTTTCTCTAAAGAGAACTACCAGCATAAGAATGCACTTTGGGATAAAATTTATGAGTCCAGATTCCTGTTACAAAACCTACTAAATGGTGAATTCATTGTATAATTCTTCACATCAATTTGTCATCTGTAAAATGGAGTGATTTATAGCTACCATATACCAGTGGACCCTCAAGTTACAAGTGGCCTGACATAGGAACAACTTGGGTTAATTAGCTTAATGGAAGATTCATCTGCCTCTTGTTATCTATACTGTGTACCCAGGGAAACATCCAGATCTCAGCTGTATTGACTTACAATCAACTTGATTACAACCAGCTGTCAGGAACCAATTAAGTTCCTTAAGTCAAGGGTCTACTGTATGATCATGAGAATTAAATGAGAAACTCACTGTAAATTTTTTAATACAGCCCCAGCTTATAGGTGACTCTCTTCTAAAAATGTTGAATTTGATGATGATATTTTTATGGGAAAAGTTCATATGTTGAAGCCCTAACACTTAGGTATCAATCAGTGCTTACTAGAGAAACAGATTTAATGCAAAATGTACAAATATATAAGAATTTATAAGGCTGGCTTACAATGTCTGCCCACAGTCAGGCCTGGAAGAGTGCAAGGTCTGTCTATGCACTGGAGATCCAAAGGATCCATTTGAAGGCCTGAAGCTCAGTGTAATGTCCAGTTCATGTCCGAAAGGTCTGTGATGGAAGCCCGAGGTCTGCAGTGGAGGCTGAGGAGTCATGGTGGAAGCCAGGAGTTGTTCAAAGTGAAGGTGAAGATGAGAGCTCCTCTGAAGAAACAGAAGTGAGCCTTCCTTCTTCATTTCCCTTTTATTCCATTCTGACAATCATCCCTAGGGTGGGTCTTCCACACCCAGAACTATGCTGAGCCAGTTTTAGTTGGGTGTTTCTTACTCAAATTGACACAATCAGTTAACTAACACAACTCAGTGCCTCAGACAATGATTGTATTTGGAGACAGAACCTTTAAAGAGATGATTAATTTAAAACAAGGCCATTAGAATAGGTTCCAGTACAATCTGATGGATTTTCTTCTAAGATGAGGAAAGTTAGAAATGAAGTGACTCCAGGGATATGACCCAAAGACCATGTAAGGGCACAGAGAGGATAACTGACCACCTGCAAGTCTCTGAGAAGCCACAGAAGAAAGCAAACCTGCTGACATTGATCTTGAACTTCAAGCCTCCAAAACTGCTTGAGAAGAAGTTTTTATTGTTTAAGTCACCCAGCTTGTGTGATTTTGTTATAACAACCCTGGAAAACTATTACATATATATGTCACTCTTTAAGAAAAACTGACCCCCTTCCTTTTTCCTTATTTCGATTATAGTTTGTATTTATTCTTCTACTTAGTAATAGGCAGTGATTAAAGGGCATAATCTTAGAAGTTAGCCTTAGATTTGAAGACTAGATTATCGACTCAAATAACCTTGTGTACATTTTTTAAGGATTTTTAAGCCTCAAATTTCCTCCTCTGTAAAATGGGGGCAATACCTATTTCAAATTAAAAGACATATATATGGTTCAGAGTACTCCAGTGTTTGCCATACAGGTGCTAAATAATTGTTAGAACTTTATATACAATGGACAATTTACATGTATTTTATCAATCTTGCTTAGTTTTCTCTAAGCCTAGTTAATTTGTCAAATTTTCTTTTCTGTGTGAAGTGCCACACATGCATGTATTTTCTGCATTATTTGATTTTTGGAGAAATGGCTTGGATCACCTTTATTGTCAGCTTGAATCCAAGATGACAAGCACTTGCAGTTAAGTTGTAACGTATTTTCAATATATATCCTAAAAATCTTTCTAATATATTAGAGTTTTTTAAATGATTTGATGATTTTGCTGCACAGACCAAGCTATTTTTCTTTCTTGCAATTCCTTATACTTTTATCATAGGAAGAAGTCATGGCTTATGCCAAAACTCTACCTAGGTAATTTCCATGCATCATTCTACAGAGTTGCAGTAGAATGATTAAAGACACTCATCATTATTACCTTACCCAACTCTAATGTTCCTTTTTTTTTTCGGCATCAGGGATCAAACTCAGGACCTTGCGCTTGTGAGGCAGGCATGGTGCCACTGAACTAAATCCCCAGCCCTCCCACATTCTTTCTAAGATATATTTTATGGTCTACCCTCATTCCTGCTTTAAAATAGTTTATAAATGGTTTAACTAAATTGGGATGAAATTTGCTTCCACATGATTCTTTATGATTCTCTCACCTAGTAAAATTTTTAGGTTACAATTGTTTATACTATCCTCCCATATACATGATGTACTCTGCTTCTTGCTCATATTTATCCTTTGCTTATAATCTGTGAATTGGCATCACAATACTTTCTATCCATAGGATCTCCCTCTCTCAGTGATTGCCGTTATCTTAAGATTTTTACTTGCTGTCATTTATTCAAATTAATATTTACAGAGCACTTAGTTTGTGTAAAGCATTATGTTATCCACTGTGGAGAAACACGTATTTAAAATTGTGCCAAAGAGCCCATGTTCTAAAAATTCTAATCATATTTTATTTTTTAAGGCTTCTAATGTTTTTGGAAATACATATTCTAAAGTGACTTTTCTTCTACTTCTCATACCTGTTTGAAGGGACATGTACTGTATCATATCTTAAGCAGGCCATTGAAGTCTCTCCACAGTCCACAAGAAGAGTCCTTGCCAATTTGTTTTATGTATTTTTTCCTTTACAGCTTTTCTTCAAGTTTTAGAACAAAACCCACCACCTAGTTTGTGACAGTATGGGTGCTAGTGATGGGTAGTCTAAGGAATTTTGCTTGCAAATATTACATCTTGCTTTGCTGAACTGTTTATCTTCTTTCTTTGCTCTCATCAAAAGACCAGACCACCACTTGTTATAAGCTTGTCATTTATTTGAGAATTAAGGAGTTTCAGCAGACTTGCTGAAGAAGGGAAAGAGGACATCAAAACCATTATTCTACACAACAATGTCTAGCCCACCAAGACTTAGAACAAACTCCTTTTTCCTTTTAAAATGAACATCCAGACATAAAAAAAGGAAAACAGACTCCTTAGCCTTAATTGGCACCCATACTTGGATGGGAGCAGTCAATGAGGAAGAAGGAAAAAGACAAGAAAAGAGAGTAAAGACAAAGATATATGCAATTAAAGAATCCAATACAAAAATTGGAATCCTACCAGACTTAGCTTACATCAGACACACTATTTTCTACTTCTATTTTTATTCATCCCAAACTTGATATAATTGGGTACTATCTCATAAATCTTTAACTAACAACCATTAATAAACCAACTGCAGAAAATTTTCTAGTTCTTATTACAAGTGAAATGTGCCAAGTGCTAAACAAGCTAGTTGAAATATATAATCCCATGCCTGCCTTTACAAAGGTTACTGTCTAGCTGTGTAGAGTGTCACAAAAAGGATAAAATAGACATTAAGTATTGAAAAATTCAAAATAAGAACTTAAACATTAAGCCGAGGCTCAAAACAAAACAAAAAACCAAGCTTTATTCTATGTCACCATTTCCTTTCCTTGGTATATACTTGACCAAGTCTTCTCTTTTTCAAGTCTCTGTCTTCCTCCCTCTTATCTCTGGCAGTAGGAGCAAGAGATGAAACACAGAGATGAAAGGAGAGAGGAAGACACAAAGGGAGAGGGAGAGAAGGACAGGGAGAGAGGGAGGAGAAAAGGGAGAGAGGGAGAGGGAAAGAGGGAGAAAGAAGGAGGGAAAGCGGGAAAAGGGAGGGAGAGAGAGCGAGGGAGAG